GCCGTGACTTCCCCGCGCGTCCCTGTCACCCAGGCCGTGACTTCCCCATGTGTCCCCCGTCACCCAGGCCGTGACTTCCCCACGCATCCCGTCACCCAGGCCGTGTCTTGGCCTCACTCGGCATCATAGACACAGGACCCCACCGTGCTAGTGATGTCACGTGGCCGTTGGGTGACGCTCTCACTTTGCTTCTCAGTGACATCAGCTCGGACATCCGTGTGATCTGCATGGGGGAGCTGGGCTGCTGGGTCAGGCTGTACCCAGACCTGTTCCTGGACAACAACTACTTGAAATACATCGGCTGGATGCTGTACGACAAGGTGCGCGGCCCCGCCGCTCCGCCCGCTGCGCGTGCACGAGGAACCCCGGTGCGCGGGCCCCGCCGCTCCGCCCCTGCGCGTGCACGAGGAACCCCGGTGCGCGGGCCCCGCCGCTCCGCCCCCTGCGCTGTGGGGAGGTGCTCCGGTGCGTGTGCTGTCAGTGGTTCCCGGAGCGAGCACGCGTGTCCTGCACGGTTTGGTGGGGGTCCAGCTCTACAAAAGAGGCTTTCCACGCAGTGGCAGTATTGTGGCTGTCGCACCGTGGGGTGACGCAGGGTTTGGGCTGTAGGGGCTCCCCTGTCCCCTGGAGGAATGGGGACACGGCCCTGCCTTCGTGTCCGCCCTCCAGCAGAGTTTGCATCCGGGTCCCTCGCTTGGGTGACGGAGCAGGTGTGGCCTGCTGCGCGCATAGGCCGGGTCCCATGTCCGCAGCCTTCGTCGGCCCGCCCCGTCCACCTGTCCGTCTGCTGCCAGCTCCCAAACCAGGAGACGCGTCCCCGGCCCCGTCGGCCGACACAGGGAATCGTAAGCAGGTGGCTGTGTGGGAGCCGTAGCTCTGCATCTCGCACATTTACGCCCCAGCCCCGCAAACGCGGGGGATGCCCGCGGCTGCCGGTGCCGGGGGGCGTTTCTTCCCTGTCGCAGACGTAGACGAGGAAGAGTCAGTTCTCTGAAAACGTGCGTTTCGTGTTAGAACCGAACGTGACGGGACCCGGGGGGGGTGTTTGAGATGAGCCTGGGGCTGTGTGTCGTGATTTTGGAGCTGATGGGCCCGTTTTTGTCATCCTCATCCTGCAGACTTTCGGGCTGGGGCTCTTGCTATGTTGGGGGAAGGTACAGGTGTGTGTGGGAAGCAGGCAAGTGTGCGGTGGTGGGTGGCTGTGGGTGCGTGTAGCAGGAGGTTGGGGGAGAAGGTGCGGGTGTGTGGGGGAAAGCCAGCAGGTATGTGTAGGGGGAAGCTGGCAGGTGTGCAGGGATGGGTGGGGATTGGGGGTAGGCAGCGGGCAGGTTGGGGGGAAGGTACAGGTGTGCGTGGGGTTAAGTGGGCACGTGTGTGGTGGGGGGAAGGAGGCAGGTGTCTGGGAGGCTGGGGTGGAAGCGGGCAGGTGGGCGTGGGTGGGGGCGGGGCAGGTGTGTGGGGGGAGCAGACAGGTGTGCGTGGCTGGAAGCTGGCAGGTATGCATGGAGGGAGCGGGCAGGTGTGCATGAGGGGAGCGAGCAGGTGTGCATGACAGGAAGTTGGCAGGGGTATGTCGGGGCAGTGGACAGGCGTGCATGGGGGAAGCGGGCAGGTGTGTGGCAGGGAGCGGGCAGGTATGTGGGTGGAAGCAGGTACGTGTGTGTGCGGGGAAGCAAGCAGGTGTGGCATGGGGAGCGGACAGGTGTGCATGGGGGTAGCCGGGAAGTACGTGTGGGGGGAGCGGGCAGGTGTACGTGGGTGGAGGCGAGCACGTGTGCGTGGAGGGGAGCAGGCACGTGTGTGGCAGGGGCAGCGGACAGGTGTGCATGGGGGGAGCGGGGAAGTGTGTGTTGGGGGAGCGGGCAGGTGTGCAGAGGGATCTCTGCGTGGCTCACACGCTGCCCTGTGTGCTTGTCGCAGGCGAGACTCTAGCCGAATTTCCGCATCGTGTGTGGATTTTTGCAACCCTGGGGGCTCATTCCAGGGTAGGACGCGCGGTGAGTTCACCATGGCGTGCTCTTGGTGATCCGTGGGCCTGGCAGGCCGTGGTTGCTCACGCATGGTGACCGGTCTTGGGCGGTGAAGACAGACGGGGTTCTTCTTGCAGGCAGGGGAGAGGATGGGAACGTCAAAGTGTTGCTTCAGGCGCTGTGCACGGGCGCCGGTGCCAGAACACTACCCGGAGGACTCATGATCCGCTCACATCCGTTGCTCTCCCTGCTGGGGTCAGACGTCCCCGGTCAAAGCGCCAACAGACTCGGGGTCCGCACAGAATCCCCTGGCCCGCTCACAGACAGCATCTCCTCGCCGGGTCCTCCCGTGGAGGAGGGGGCGAGGGGGCTCTCTGGGGTCTCCTTGATGAGGACACCGATCCCATCATGGGGTCCCCACAGAGGCTTCCCCTCCACACTCCATCCTCTGGGGGGGGTTGGGACTTGACATAGGGATTTGGGGGGTCACAGACAGCTGCCTGGAGCCGACTTCTCTGCTTTTCCTCTGTGGTGGGAGCGCGATGGGTTTCGTGCACAAACGATAAGCGTAGTGACTGTCCTGGGCCCTCGGGGGCTGTTTGTGCTCGGCCAAGGGAGCCAATGTGTGGAGGGAGGAGGCCAGTCAGGGCACTAGTTGTGGCTAATGTGGGGCCTCCCGGGATCCACTGAGGGCGGCTGTTCCACAGCCTAGGCCGTGTGGTGTGTGCGCGGTTCCTCCCTGGAGCTGGGACCTCCCTCCTCTGTCCCGGCCCTGCTGTGTCCTGCTCCGCTCTGCTCGGGGCATGGCCGGAGACCTCCGGGACGGCATGGTGAGGCCATTCATGACCCTGGGAGTGGCTGTCAGGAGGTGCCCTGCAGGGACGGACCCTTGAGTGCAGAGGACGTGGGCTTGCCCTACAGGGAGCCGGCCAGGGCACCCCTACCCGCGGGTCAGCACTGAGCAGCTCTCCCCACCTCGTGCCACGTGTGTGGCCTTGCTTTGGGCTCCGTGCTTTGCACGTGCTTCTTTATTCCCAAAACAATCCCTCAGGGTCTCACTTAGTTTTATGCAGAAGGATGTGGGGCACAGAGCGATCACGTGCCTGACCTCCACTTGAGATTCAATGGTCCTGGTGCGCGTTTCTCTTCTTTTTTAGGATTTTATTTATTTATTTGAGAGAGAGAGCATGAGAGCACACATAAGTGGGGGGGTGGGGAGGGGCAGAGGGAGAAGCAGGCTCCCTGCCAAGCAGGGAGCCCAGCGACCCAGGACCCTGAGACCATGACCTGAGCTAGAGGCAGACCCTTCACTGACTGAGCCGCCAGGTGCCCCCGGGTACATTTTTCTGAGAGTGCGTTGTGTTTTCACTCACACAAAGGAAAGTAGCGGCATCCAGACCGGGCGACGTCTGTCAGAAGATAAAACGTTGTTAGCTGCGTGGGTACAAATGGCATGTTTCTCTGCTTAAAAAAAAAAAATCTTGGATGGGTGCGCAGCTGGGTCAGTCTGTGGAAGGTGGGACTGTTGATCTTGGGGTCCTGAGTTTGAGCCCCATGTTGGGCCTGGAGCCTTGGGGGAAAAAAAACCAATACAGATGCTCAAAGCTGTTTTAGCTGTGGGCACTGAATTAGCTTGTGTGGCCATACAGACATCCCAGACAGGGCAGCACAAATAGCACCTGTTCATTCCTCTCAGTCCTGGGAGCTGGGAGTGTGAGAACCAGGCAGGGCTGAGGCTGGGAGTCTGAGACCCAGGCAGGGCTGAGGCTGAGAAGCTGAGATCCAGGCAGGGCAGAGGCTGGAGTCTGAGATCCAGGCAGGGATGAGGCTAGAGTCTGAGATCCAGGCAGGGCTGAGGCTGGGAGTCAGAGATCCAGGCAGGGCTGAGTCTGGGAATCTGAGATCCAGGCAGGGCTGAGGCTGGGAGTCAGAAACACAGGCAGGGCTGAGGCTGGGGGTCTGAGATCCAGGCAGGGCTGAGGCTGGGAGTGTGAAATTCAAGCAGGGCAGAGGCTGGGAGTCTGAGATCCAGGCAGGGCTGAGGTGGGGAGTCTGAGATCCAGGCAGGGCTGAAGCTGGGAGTCAGAGACCCAGGGCAGGGCTGAGGTTGGTAGTCTGATACCCAGGCAGGGCTGAGGCAGGTAGTCAGAGACTCAGGCAGGGCAGAGGCCGGGAGTGTGAGATCCAGGCAGGGCTGAGGCCGGGAGTGTGA